TGCGGTATTACTGCTGTATTGCTGTTCAAGTCCTCATAGGCCGTCTTTTTACATAGGGCGTCTACTTCCTCGACCCGACAGAAAAAAAGAAGAAAAAAGAACACCACGACAAGATGGATCATCATCGAGCGAGTGGTGGGTTTCCTATGTCGTAGGGCACCCGAAATTGTGCAGGGTGTACCCTTTTTTGGGGGGGGAGTTGACCCGTCACCACGGAAGGCTTCCGCGGCAGTATTGTGCAGAGTGTACCCTTTTGGGGGGGGGAGTTGACCTGTCACCACGGAAGGCGGCCGCGTCATTCGGACCGGTGCGGGTACTACAGAAGCCACCCAGCAGAGACCAAAACGGCCTCGAATGCGAGAACTCCGGCAGCAGCACCCCGAACCACGGCGAGTGTGCTGCTGAGAGAGCAGCCATTGCCAAGGGGGAACCGACCGCAGCGTACCTACATTATCGAGACACCCTCACCTCCGTGCAGGCGAAGCGGTTGTGCGGCAGCTTCGCCGTGCCGGTCGTGCCAACCACCTCCATGTCTTCCTCGTCTCCCCCCCTGCTGCGCTTGGCCGGGCGGCGGGCGACCTCCTCGTTTATCATCTCCGGCGGCTTGTCCGTGACTTGGACCTCGCCGCTCTGCTGGGCCTTGGCGGAGGCCTCGGCGGCCCTCTTCAGCCCCTCATTCTTCACCTCCTTCTTCTGCGAACAAGGGATTGGACCGACGGGGTTTTACGCATAGCAAGGCTTGAGGGTGAATTACTACTGGTCCACGTGCGAGTCGTGTGCTTGTCCCAAGAAACGCAGTTCATTGTAATACCACGGATTACCTTTTGAGAATACTGGCACACGTGCGAGTCGTGTGCTTGTCCGAGAAACGCCCTTCATTGTTGTGCCATGGAATGGCTTTGGGATGACCGGTACGTGAGCGTCGTGTGCTTGTCCGAGAAAAGCACTTCATTGTTTGTACCATGGTATACCTTTTGAGTATTTAGTAGATAGGGCTTGTTGCGAAACCAGAACATCCCCCATGCCCAACGCCGACCCAACACTGCATATGTAACCGGTGAACGTCTACATACCAAGTCGTGCCCTCAACGTGCATGTGCCCTCAATTTCTCCCCTACGATTGTATGGTGTTTCAGAAGAGACATGCGCAACTAACAGGTTTGTGTTGCTGTTGTCTGCACAGCAGCTACTACGGCATTCCAGCAGCTATTGCAGACGGTACCACTGCAGCACGTACAAAAAAAACGAACAGGCCCAACCTGCAGCAGGCTCTCGCAACGTGCGACGCAACCCTAACGAAGCATGGCGCGGTGTCGTGTAAGAAATCTGCGCCATCTACCACAGACCCAGGCACCCAACACGGCGATAGATAAAATTACAAATTGGCACCACGACAGCAGTGATACATAGCAGCAGAGGCCCCTGTTTAGTGTCGATTGCCGGTGTTTCCGGCGGGCACGCACTGATTTACCAAGTTGTTCTGTACTTTAAATGGTGCTGGGGTCCGGTATATGTAGTAAAATCTCTGGGCAGATACCGGCACTAAACAGGGAGCTCTGCTGTAACACGATTGGTCCATGGCATGACTCTCTCTTGGGTTGTACAGAGTAGACATGTGCCTTTACTGACTGCTGTGTAGTGTCTTAGAACCTCTGCTGAGGAACAACACCTGCGAGCATGACAACGATACCCCCAAAGTGCAACTACTACTGATAGGAAGGAGCGCCGGCGATAGGTCTTCGGCGTGATGCCTCGTCCAAGTCAGGCACATGCGGCATAAACATGCATGCCTTGCATGCGATCTATGTAAATAAATAGTGATCTTGTATGAGGCCCAAAAGGGCTGAAACTTTGCCCGTGACCCCAACTGACCCAAATATATTCCGCTCCCACGGCAGCGGGCTCGGCTGAGTACGCCTTGCGGCACGCCTTAAGACGTGGTAGCCTGATAGGCTCTGTTGGTTTGCAACCGCCGTGTTACAACGCTACTTGCAGATAATCCGCTTCAATGCATACTACATGCTGCCATTAATAAACACGCTTCATGGACGCGTGTGCTGTAGTCGATTTATAACTGCTGTCGTGTACATGATATGTACTCCCCAAACCCAAAAACAACTAATTAAATCAAACAACCCCCATAAAACAAATAATTACAAATTCAAACAACCCCCATAATATTGGTGCATTTCATGAGAGGAACACGAATTTCAAATTTCAAATTTCGGATCACAAGCCATGTTCTTTCTCCTCTCTCTACCGGTGTGGCCGAAAGGGGGCTTGTTGCACGGCGACCTACGAGGAAAGAGGTAACACGTACGAGACCACGGGCAATACTATTCAAGACCGCAGAGCAGTGGTCATAGCCGTGTACAAGGGCTTGGCACAAACTGATCCCCCTTGAAACAACGGCGGGCGTGTGCATACAACGGACTTTACGCAGACATGGGCAACATCACTGCTGGCACGTTGTGCTTTTGCGCGAGGTGAACAAAAACAGGTTGTGCAGTCTCGCGTGGACAGACGATCATTGAACTGGGGGATATTGTAGGCCGCTTCTACAGGCCAAGCAGGCCGGCGGTGGATATCTATTCAGAGCCCCTCCCTCGCTGCTGGAAAGCGCGTCGTCAGATGGTGCAAAGACATCATGCATGATGACAACACACGGCCGTTTGCATGCATACCGCTTGCATCTTGAGGGCCCAGGGAGACAGGACCTCGACGCCAGCGTTGCTCGAGGAAGCTGATGCTGCTCCTGCTCCTGCTCCTGCTGCTGCAGGCGATGGCGAGTCCTCCGTATCGGACGTGAGATCGATGACGGCTTCGTTGTCGTCATCAACGTCCACGGGCGTTGCCGAAGCCGCAGAGCCCTTGGGTGCCCACCATGCCATGATTTGACGTGTCTCCGGTTTGCTTTTCGAAAAACAAAGACAGAGCTGTACCACACTTTTTCGAACAAAGACTGCTGTTGCGGGAGTGCTGCAACGCGGGTCGAGAGAGAGCTCGGCTGAAGCTAAGCTTTCTCAGGTGCTAACCCCGTAGCTGCACCTCTCTCACACAAGGGAGGGACGTAGACAGACAGCAGGGAGCTTGCTTGTTGAGCGCGGCCCGTCTGCGAATTCGGGGGGCTTCACAGCTAGCTGCAGAAAATGATCGTCCAGGTATGTGCGCGAACACGTTTCGTTTTGACGAGCCCCTTCAACCTTCAATGCACAACTCAAAGGCTACAATGACTCGGGGTATATAAAGAGTCATAGCCTTTGGCACAACTTGGCACGACCAAGCCACAACCCACGCCCCCGCAGGGCAAATGTAATGCAGGTTCTCCGTGAACGAACATGTGATATGTGATGCTGCATGTTTGCGCGGACAGCTAAAAGAGGGGCTGCCGTGAGCACTTGGAAGGCAACCCTACCGCCACTCCAGACAACAGCACCAAATCTCCACCGCTCTTTATTTCCTCAACCCAAGTTCTGGCGCTCAACGAAATCGAGCGAAATGAACGCTGGTGGCGCTTATATTTACTGCAACTGCTACTGCACATACATAAGAGAGTAAGCGGATACTCGTCCAATACACAACCGTGACGCGCCACGCAACAGAACGAGCAACAACGACCTCAACACACTTGATACAGGAAATAGGAATGTAACCCCAAACTTGCCCAAACCCACCCACAGCATCTACAAAAAGCTGCTTGTTCGGCTCGCAAGGACGACACAACAGCAGAAAGTTGTTTGGCCCTCAGCACAGACGCGCCTCTCTTGCATTGATCGGCCGAAAACTCCAAGTACCTTCAGCAGACGTCCAAAGAATCAAACGTTTGGGTACTTGTCGAAAAAACAAATGGTGGTTGGGACGACTTGCGCTAGAGGCTCCCGGGCCTGGATGCCCCAGTCGTACTTGCCGCCTCGCGACACGGCAACCCCGTCCTCCGTCACACGGACCTCGTACGTGGAGTCCTTCTGGCGAAACCCGAACCACGAAGGCCTGGATTTCCGAAGGACGATGGATCCGTCCACGGAGACCTCCTGCGCAGGTGCACACACATTGCAGCGGTTGCGCGAAAAGGAGGGGGAGCTATGTTAGGGGACATGGCTTTCTGTAAATGTCAAGTGGGGAGACTCAGTGTGCCTGCGATTCTTCTCTCACCATAATTGACTTCTACCGACAAAAAAAAAGTAGTGAGGGGGAGCTCACCGACGAAGGGAAGGGGTACAAGCCAGTTTACAGCGAGGCGGGGGAGGGCGGATGGGAAAATTTGTTTTGCCGGATGCACCGAGAGAAACCGCCCGTTTGCATCTAACCATAATACGACCTGAGGAACAATGCCAGCAAACATCATCTCGCACGATTCGCATCCTGCTACCACAGCTACAAGTCTTGCCGCCGCCCAACGTACCAGGTCTCCCTTGTTCGTGACGGAGAGCGTCGCCTCCCCCAAGTGCGCAGCCACGTGCTCCCTCGCTCGTCGCCGGCGGAAGCCGTGCTTTCCGAAGGGCAAAAAGCCCAAGACGGTGACCATCTTCGACTTCGTAAGACCCCGGCCCTCAACCGCCTCCTTTTCCGCCTCGTCCCTCTCATCCATGACTTCAGCTCGGAGCTCCTCGACCTTCGACACGCATCGCGGGTTGGCCTCTAGCAGGGTCCGCCTCGTCAGCGACACCGGGTCAATGGTCCGGCCCCCGGCGGCGTTCCGGTGGTCGTGGCGTGCACGACGGAGCCGTCAATGGACGTGGCATACACCATGGTCGTCTTGGCGGGGTTCGGAAGTCTCCCGTGCAGGAAGTCTCCGACACGCATAACGAAGTCCGGGTGAAACTCGAACGCGTCGGGTGAGTACGTAGGTCCTCTCTTGCCGTTACATTTGCTGTTGCTGCTACTGTTGCCGTTGTGGCTGCTGTTGCTGCTACTGCTACTGCTGCTGCTGTTGTTCCCGTCGTCACTACCGTCGCTCTCGGGGTCCCTCTCGTTCTGTTGATCCTCCTGCTGCATCTGGGCTTGGTTCTCTGCTGCGACCCCCGAGATAGATTCAGGAATAGGCGAAGTATGCTTGCCTTCGTCATCACCCTTGGTCTCGATCTTGCCGCCGTTGTGGACCGAGGCGCGAAGATTATGACGCTCGCGGGCCCTCTCCGTCACGTCGCCCGCACTGGGGTTGTCGCCGGCCCTGTGCACTAGCTCGGCGATCATGAGCATAGCCGCCGTTTTTTTCCGTCAGCTTTCGCGCGATCCGACGAAGTGCTCTCAGATGGCGAACGAACAGAGGACGTGACCGTGGAGGTGGGGACGGCATCATGAGCCGGGACGTTCTTGTCGCCATCACCAGCGTTCGGGTCGGCAGCAGTGGAGGTCGGCGCAGGGTCGGACTTGTGGAAGGAGGGTTCTTTGAACGAAACAGCGGGGTCGGCCACGTGCTGTTGTTATTATGATGCGCGCGGAACATGGGCGGGAGACCGCGGCAGCGAGAGAGGGGACATGGGGAGGCCAGTCAGTGCACTGTATTGTCAATAACACTCCCACAACAAGCGGCCTTGAAACGTGGATAGGATTCAAAGAGAACACGGTTATCCAAGGCCGCGTGGCCACCTGCTATTCCGCACCCAATATTTGCCAACATGTATGTTCTTGAACAAAAATAACAGTACCAATGAGAGAGTCGAGCTTCTTCTAGACGCTCAAATGGCCTGAATCGTTTCAAGAGAGAAAAAAAGATGAAGGAAAGTCCTCTTGCACTATGGCATGCTTGCAACACCAAGACCTAATCTGCCTCTGTGTTCTTGCGCCTGAGAAGTGGGACCCTACTCCCGAAATACAACCGACAGGTATGTGCGTCCCACCATGTCGCTGACGTCTGCTGCTGCAGCTCCTGTTGCCGTTGCTGCTGCTATGGCTGTGGTGTTCTCACATGCACAGATGGACGAACGCGGTGTCGTGTGGGTCGGAGGCCAGGGCCTAGTCCTGTCGAGCAACAACATGGTCACATACACGGCCACGGCCAAGTCCGTTGTTGTGTCAGCTGATAAGAATCATGCACATATGTAATTATTGATGTGCATGTATTTTATCAGCTGACACAACAACGGAGTCGGCCATGTAGTCTATGTGATCTTGTTATTGCCCGAAAGGACTGAGCCTTGAGTTCTAAGCCACCCCGCACCGCGTTGGTCCATCTGTGCATGTGAGAACACCAAATCCACAGCAGCATCAGCATCAGCAGACCTCAACGACGTTGTCGTTGATGTTCGTCACGTAAGAGAACCCAAGATTAGTGTCTCGATGACGAAACGTCCAGCGCACTTCTCAATAAAAATAGACAACCTCACGGGGCTAATTCCCGCCGGCCCAGCGAGCTACATGGATTACTCCAAAACGCAACCGACATGCGTCTCACCATGAGTAGACTCAAGAAAATTATGCGCATGTACCTTGTCGGCTGACGACACAACGACAGATCTGGCCGTGAATGCGATGGAGTGGTCGGAAACCACTGAGGCCTGATCTCCGACCCACACGATGTTGTGCTCGTCCAGCTATTTATGTGTGTGAGAACACCAAACCACAGCAGCAGCAGCAGCAGCAGCAGCAGCAGCAGCAGCAGCAGCAATCAGCAGAATTGACGTTGTTGATGTTTGTCACGTAAGAGCACTCAAGCTGATTAACGCGTTGTGTGTCTTGATAACGAATCGTCCAGCGCATTTCGCATTGAAAAACACAACCTCACAGCGCCAATTCCAGTCGGCCTGGCCGGCTCCATCGGGTTTTATCCCAGTCTTCATGCTTACTCAACATTAAAGCACGTCATCGTTAGAGGAGGTAGGAACCTAGACTAAGGCGGAGTACCTAATACATGACGCCGAAAACTTGGTCGAGGCGTGCGATTCGCTGTATGTGCTAGTCACCACAGTGCCGTCAAGCGGATGCTCAAGCCACGAGGTGACCTGAAAGTCGATGGAGCCCAGCACCAATAGCACGGGGTGGTCCCGCATAGCCTGTCAAAGGAGATTCGTATTTGTTTGAGCAAACGGGGCGCGGACGATTTATTTTTTCGTATTCCAGTAACCGCCAAGAGGAGGGGCGGGAGACAGCCGCACGGAGACTACACTGACGTATTGTCATTGGTCATCCGATTAGTTAGTTAAGGTCGATGCAAAAAATGTAGATGTTCACCCCCACTTTTATTGGGCTCCTACGTACAGTACAGCGTCTCCATCACCTAAAACAATAAAAAATGCTTAAGAGCGAAAGATCGGAACTCAAATCTACTACCTTAAAACCACCATCCAATGGGACGGGTATGTATCTGAATCTTCCCGTACCATTGCAACGGACGGTATTCTTCTTCACGCTCAAGTACCCTTTCCTCAGTCCATGCCACGGACACCGTTGGGGCTCGGACCGTCAGGTGGGCCCCTGGGTGCATGATAAGCGTGAGCGCCATCGTGGTGATGGACGTGGGCGAGCGGATTTCCGTGTCCCCGCTCACTCGATCGTCTGTGTGTACATCAAAAACGAGCAAAATTGATGGGAAATAGTGAGGTGTTGAGGCATTCTGGAGACAAAAGCAATGGTTACTCTTCCACTGCACTATTGATGTAGCATCACAGTTTCGATTTTCCCATGCTCATCGTTGTGTTCATCTTGCCCATGGCGAACCCCGGATATTCGCGTCATTGAAGCACTCCCGAGGGGATTCTGCTATTTCTTGCCAGAAAAAAAATATCCCTGCAGTAGAAGTATTCATACATCAGACAAAAAAAAGCGCGCGGTTCAGGAAAAAAGGAGGTGGACAAAGAGGCAACCAATATTGCTGGAGAGCGACCAGGGTGGCGCCAAACCCTCGGCTGCATGCAAGGTGCTCACACACACACACACACCTCACGCCACTTGAGGATAGGGATAAATCCATCATGGTTAGACTATACACACGGACAAATCCTCTGCGCCGACGATAGGAGAAAGTCGGCAGGGTCCGAGAGAGAAGCGAGCTCTCGGAATGCACAGCATCAATCAGTCGTGGTCTCAGCCTTTTTAAGCTATAGCAGCAGCGACCGGGATGAGCTTCGAAATAAAGAAAAATGATCGATCCTGCCTGTACTTGGGTTAGCACTTGGGTAGCATGCAGGATCTTGGATGTGGGCTTCTTGCTATTGAGCTAGCTGCTGTAGCAGTTTAGACTCGTTATGTTGAACTGGAAACCAACGGCTATCGCTACACAGGCTGCCGATCGATGCCTACCTGATGGCCTGCAAACAGACGCTTGCTTATTGCCTGCCCCGAAAATGCCCCCGCGTCTCCTACGCTACAGGCAATAGCTGCTGAGAGTTGATCTGGCCGGGATTCAAAATATCTCACCTTTGACGTCTTGCCGCAGTCAATGTCCCCAAGGAACGTGAGAGCTCCGCCGGCGTGCGCGGTAGCCTTGGAGGGGATGTCATCGCAGTTGCGGATGACGGTCGTGTCGTCTGCCAAAGAGCGAGCTTGGACGAGCGGCATCGTGCAAAGGCTGAGCAAGGCAAGCAAGCCACCGACCAGCATCTTCGAGAGACACATTCTTGCGTATGTGCAGGACCGTTCGCTCACGCGTTTGTTGTTCTGTTCTTCGGCAAGATCAGTCGCACTCACAAGCGCAGGTAGCTGTGCCTTGGGTGGGTAGATGGTGAGTGATCGAAGGGGTGGGAGTGATAGATGTATCGATCCACACGGCAGCACACCCCGTATTGTAGCGGGCAGGGCTATGGGAAGAGTTAGAATTTCGCACCCGATCACGTCTATTCTTGACGGATGAAAACCATCTAACGGGTAAATCCTGCTCCTACGTTCCAGGTTCGGAGAGACACGGCGGTGTGGTCTCCCTTTATTCTTTCAACTGCTGCGGACTCCCAACACATAGTCCAACCGACCCAGATTATTGGTGTATTGTATTTTTTTCTCACACGTTGGCGATCTCACACGTTTGCTGCCAGCTGCTGGTGGCGACGTGCCTCGGTCAGTACAATCCACTTGCATGCGTGCGCTGTATGGGCAACACAAAAGGTACCGTATGCAGACAATGACCAATTGAAGACTTTCCCTTGATGCGCAGCATCTTTCAAAAAAATAATGCGGAGGAATCGCGCCTAGTTGTTCAGCCACCGGATACATGCAACCCGATACATGTATGAACCTCGAGGGAGATTACTTCCTCACCGGTCTCCTGTCCAGCAGGAAGCAGTATGATGGGTAAGTTTCTTGCTGGTCGAACGGCCGCCTGGAATGAACTGCACTCCGTTGTGCTGTAGGGTATCCATATCATGGTTACGCTTTTTGCCAAATGCCGATCGAAAAGGCCGCCGCTCTACCTCCCCGCCGTTGTACATACGTAGTTGGACGCAAAGTCTTTCCAACTTTGTGTGAACGTACCCCAGTCGTAGCTGGTATCTGGCATGGTGATGAAAGTGTTCTCGTTCCGTGATATTGCTGCACGACAAGCAGTACACTGCTGATGTAGACTGCTGTGTAGACTCTCAAACTCTCAAAAGCTGGGTGTACAACGGTCAAACTGGTTCTTGTGAAAAAAGTGTGTCGGTTCGGCATAACGTGCAGTATGTCCAGTTCCACCGCAAAATCCAACCCCACTCCTTCCGTATGCTGAGATGCTGAAATCACTCCTTTCCCTCTCTTTCTTTCCCATACATGTACCGCACGGCATCCACTGCGTGAGCAGGGCGAGGAGGATGTAATACTACGCCTGACCTTGTACTCTGTGGTGAAATGTACGAGCGAAAGGAGCAAGTTTGCGTACAGGAGGCAGCTGATATCATTGTGTGTGGCGTCGGGATGGCGAGCAACAGAGAGAAACACTACACACATCGCTGATTTATCCTGGACATGCTCATGTATGGGCGGAAGGAGAAAAGCGAATGACTTTGTATCTTGTCGAAAGAAACAGAGCTCACTCTCCTAATGAACAGAAAATTGTCCGCGGGTTTGTGGGACGACGGGTGTTGGGGCCCGAACTAACCGCGCCTTTGGGATGAGAGCCGTGCCGTCTCCCACGTCTCACGTGGCAGTCTCCAACGGCAGTGACTTTCGCTTGCCCCGACCCCCCCCCACAGTTGCAAGACACCCCTGGCCGACGACACACTCAGTAACTGACCTCGATATTAAAGTAGTCTTGTGAGAAACTGAGCTAAGGGTAAAGTGTAGCCAGGTCTTGTTGCAAGAATGGAACGAACGGTACAAAAAGCACCAACTGCATCGTGTTGCCTGTTGCGGTTGGTGTTTTCCATGATCGCAACGCCACAAGCGAGCGGAACAACATGGTGAAAATAAACAGGCACATGCTTGTATAATCGGCGAATACCCAATCCATCAAGGGCCAACACACAAACAAGGGCCACCACGCCGCATAGTCTCCAAACCGCCCTTGAAGAACCGCAAAAAAAGAGCGCGCCGTGTCGGCTGTACAACAGCGCTCATGAGCACGAAAAAATGTTGTTGATTCTCTTCCCCCGAAGTCAAACTTGACTGGATAACGCGACCACGCTATGTTGCTACAGACCCCGCACAGCATGGCTACACAGCAGCAGCACACAGGAAACCAACAGAGGGGACGTTTAGTGAAGCACAGCAAGCAGGACACGTACACCAACCAACGAAGCACCATTACGGAACACTGCTGCTGCTGCATCACCCAACGCGGAGCATTCACGGGGTACTAAGCTAGCACAGTAAGCCAAAACCCGACAACCCATCGACCTCACTTCCCAGGAAAAATGGAAAGGAGCTGGACTCATTGCAATTTCGTTGAAATGGAACCACTTTCTGTTTATGCCTCCTCCTTCTCTTTTTCTTCTTCCTCTTCTGCTGGATGGCATCGTAAAGCCCAGACTGCCGGTCGGAAAATTGTAGACACCCCTGATTCTGCCTTCTCGCACAGCATCCGCGAACTACCGCGTCCACCGACCACCGCCAATCTTGGGTCTTGGGTGTACGGTATTTCGCACCAACTGCATTGCTGCTTCTCCTGCTGCTGCCACTGCTTCTGCGGCTGTTCTGGGTGCTACTGCTGCTTGTTGTGACAGCCCTGCCGGGGGCGCGGTTGAGTCGCTCGAGCCAACCTACAGAGTCCTGAAATAACGACGAAAAGGACAAAGAGCACCGACAATCACACCGGCTCACGGTGACGACCGTGGCAACGACAACAACAGTGGGGTGGTGGAGATGAACGGTGAGGAAGCGGTTGTGCGGTACTGTAGCACTGTTGGCACTACCGTACAACAGCAACAACAAAGAGCTACATGCATTCAGCAAAATGGGTTTGTCGCCAGGTCTAAGCAATAGGGGGACCTGTTTAGTGCTGGTACTTGTCCAGAGGTTTCACCGGCACTAAACCGGGCACCCGGCACTATTGCGAATGGTGCCAAAACGCCACTATTGAGGGCTGGCCAATCCCTCATTAGTGCTGGTCTGGCACTAATCAGATTGTGTTCGACTCATATGGTGTAGCGCCCACGCTTGCAGGGTCGACAGAGTACGAAATGGATCGACACTACTGTTGAGTGAAGTTCCAGCGTCGGCGTGGGCAGACTTTCTTTCCTGCGACACGTTTGGTTCGAACCTGTGGAGCCCACAACAGTTTGTTGTAAAATAAGATACAGTAGTTTCGGCCTACAGCCTAACCGGGACTAGTCGACGGCGAAAGAAAATACGTCATGTACCCGAGTAAGCTGTGACGGCACAAACTGCTTGTAAAGCTCTCGTTCGTACAAAATATCACTGCTCGTTGCCTACTTCGATGTAGCTCCAAAAAAAGCGCACCAAAGACAACAAAAAAACACAACTACAGCTGTACCCCCGCCCTCACTACGTCGGGACAAATTCTCTCCTGTCTGCCTGGCGCATCCGCTTCGATGTTGCAAGAACAAGCGAAAAAAAAAATAAAAACAAGAAGCACGACAGGCAGCGCACCGCAACAAATCAAACAACCATCACTACCACAGCTGTACCCCCCGCGCTTACTCCGTAACAACAACAAACTCTCTCATGTCTGCCTGGCGCACCCGCTTAGCGGAATGCGCTGCAACCATCGCCATCTTCGCTTTTGCTAGGTAGAGCGCCGCGTCTTCGTTGCCACTCTCCTCTGCTGCCGCTTCCAGGATGCCGAAGTGAGACGACAGCTCACCATAAGCAGGTAGGGCACGGCGCGCGAGCCCCGTGTTCTCATCGCCACTGTCCTCCTCCTGTTCGTCCTCCTCCTCAGCAGTGTAGCGCACCTCCGGAAAGTCGCCTGTGCGTATGTTTTTCTGGCTTCCTCCGCCTCCTGCAGCAGCCTCGGTCTCGTACTTCTTTCGGTTTTTCTTCACATTCCGGACCAACCGTTCCGAGCACCCGGAGCGGCCCGCTATCTGCTCATGAGTCACCTTGTCATCCATCAGCTTCAGCATCTCAAGCTTGGCG